CATATATATACAAATAAAGTTCAACATAAAAGATAGATAATAAGAAGTAAGGAGATACCACTTTCTCAACTAAGAAAGGGATCAAGAAGTGAACACAGGGAAGGAAGAGGAAGCTGCGCTATGTACATGTAACAGACCACATGAAAATATAATCACTATATACTGTAAACACGTACTAATAAAAAAATTTTAACAAATGAAAGAAGGCAGGCCTATCTGTACATGTAAAAATGTGGACTAGTACACAGACCTCTCCATGTCACCTAATCATAAACACTGCTTTGCCTCTGGCACGTATAAATCAAGTCCCCACCTCCCTCCAAGGGAGCGCTCACTTCTACGCTGCAAGTTCCCAGGACAGCGCAGCCCAAGCTCAGCTCTCACCTGCAGTTTTCATATCCATGGTAGAAAGTGTGGGCACCACCCTCAGGGGTACCGCGGGACTAGGAGAACGTGCTGGAGAGCTCGGAAGCCATGAGCTGAGATCTTCAAAAGAAAATTTTTCTTGTAAATCCAACGTGGCTGTGGACTCCAATAGGGGAGATTGGGTAAGTGGCCATTTAGGTTCAACAAGGCTAAGTCAACAACAGGGAGGCCAGGGTTCCACAATCCTTTCTGACCCTTCCCCAGGCGGGCTGGAGCACACTTAGGTCACTTAAACGGCTTTTCCAGGAAGAGAGACTTCAACAGAGTGATGGGGTCGCACTGCAGCAGGCCAACAGTCACTACTACTCTCCTGTAAGGGGAAAAGCAGTTCTCTCAAGTGGTACAATGGACCAGAGGCCTACTGTGAGAGACCCTGCCCTGCAGGGATTTGTCCAAGCACTGCTCGGCTAACTCAAGTGCCGCACGAGCGCAGGCTAACTAGGACATGGAGTCAGTCCCACTAACGGCAACGCCTCAGGAACTCAAAGACCCAGGGCTAACGAGTCCCACTCTCCACCCCAGACAACTCAGATGCTACTTTGGGGGCGAATGGCTACCTCTGGCTCCAATAACCCAGCTGTCCCAAGGACCCAAGAACACTCACCTTCTTCGTCAGATGACAGAGCTGTGTCACCACACTCCTCTTTCACTTCCCTCAAGACCTTCAAGTAACGCTGCTGCGTCCGCCACTCCCGCTCCTCGGGGCTGCGGGAGGGTGAAGGGCGCTTCTGTCGGAAGGGAAGGGCTGGGCCACTCCTGCGGGCCATCTCCAGCAGATCCTAGGAAAGTGAAGGGGTACGTGTCATCCCCAAGGCTTGCTCCAGAAAGATGTGCATTCTTTAAAATTAAACTCAACACCCTCCTCTCAAGATCACAAAGAAAGTCACAGATATGTGACTATGTGCAAACAAAATGGGATATAATGATGACAGATTAGGCATATTTTATCAAAAACTCTGAAATCTGAAATGCTCTAAAATCCAGAATTTTGTGAGTACACTGAGTCCTAAATACATAAAGAAAGAAAGAAGTCAATATACCCATACTAAAAAGTGTGTAAAACTGCCTTTAGGCCAGGTATACAAGATGCAAGTAAAATATAAATAAACTGTGTGTTTACACTTGGGTCCCATCCCCAGTATGTGTATGCAATATTCCCAAATCTGAAAAAAAATCTGAAATCTGAAACACTTCTGGCCCCACGCATTTAAGATAAGAAATACTCAATTTGTATTATGTGGTGAAAACCCAATACCTGAATAAACCACTCCAAAGAAAATACATACTTTAGACAACCAAGTGCTGTATTTGTCTAGTGAAGCTTTTTTTTGGCAGAACCGGGGATTGAACTCAGGCCCTTGTGCTTGCCAGGCAAGCGCTTATTCTACTGAGCCATCGCCCCAGCCCTCTAGTGAAGCTTTAATAACTCAGAACACTGTGCCTCTAAGAATTATCGGGCCAGAAGAAACCCAGAGGCCACCTGGCTTCACGTTCATGACCACCACAGCACACAGAGGCCTGTGCGGCACCTGCACATCCTTTTCAGGTCATCCTAGTTTTCCTCAATAACCTGTAAGAGATTTCCAATCAATCTGTTTATCATGTTTAGCTGTGTGAGGTTACGTTTTGCATTGTTTTTCTGTTTGCTTATTGTGGTGCTAGGGATAGAATTTGGGACCCTGCACATGCTAAGCTTTCAGGAAGCACTTTCTTCTCTGTTTTAACACCTCTGAAATCAGAGTACATTTTAAAATTGATTATAAGGGGCCAAGGAGATAGCTCAGCAGTGTAAATCCTGCCTGGGAAGCATAAGATCCTGAGTTCAATCTCCAGTACCAAAAATAAAAATGAAAAATGAAATTGATCATAAAACAAAAAGGCATAGTTTAAATAGCACCATGTTTCTCTTAGTAGATTCTTCTATGTTTTGCATCTAACTACTACTTTAAGTCATGAGACCTGTGAGTTCACTGGCCACATTGTGCACCCAGTTCTCAACAGGACTTACACTCCGGGAGGCAAGAATATGCTTCAGAAGCCGATGGAAGTACTGCTGCTGCGAGCTGAGGTATCTCTTGTACTGGGACTTGAAGCACAGCTGCCGGTATTTGACCACCTCGGGGTTAAAGTATCCATCTTAAAAAAAGAGGCACAGGTAGGTATGCGTCTGTCAACATATACTTAATATTTAAGGTATAGTTGTAACAGACCTAAACACCAAAATGAATATAAGAATCAGGAAAGGGAACCAAAAGTAAAGGAATGCTTAAAACAGTGATAGTTCAATTAAGGCTAACAACCGTAATGACCATGTTAAAACTAGTAATGAAAGAACACTGGGGCCGGGGAGATGGCTCAGTAGACTAAGCGCTTCCCTGGCAAGCGCAAGGGTTTGAGTTCAATCCCTGGTTCCGCAAAAAAAAAAAGAAAGAAAGAAAGAAAAAAGAAATACAACACTAATCAGAATAAAATATACAGAAATTTCTGCCTCATTCCTTGTCCGTGTCCTCACCAGGCTACTGTGTAATCGGGGGGAAGCATGCTACCCTTACACAACACTTCTAAATCCAATGAGGTTTCCCTTTCCCTCACTCTACTCCACAGGCAATGAGACAGGGTACTCCTAGCTGAGGCCCCAGCTTGGGTGAAACAGGCCTTTGCCAATTGCAAAGGACAATTCCTCTTAAATAATCCATCAAGAGAGAAAAATGCAGGTTTGTAATCCAAACTAGGCTGAGGCAAGAGGGGGACCTTGGCCCAGGAGTTCAGGGCCAGCCTGGGCAACACAGTGAGATCCTATCTCACAAAATTGCTCTTTTAAGAACAAAAAAAAGTGCAGTTGGGGTATAGCTCAATGGTACAACACATTCCTAGCATGCAAGAGACCCTGGGTTCAGTCCTCAGCATCACAAAGGAGAGGGTGCTGACTTTAGATCCTTAAGATGAGAAATTGGAAATGATAATGTTGCTTGCTCCAGTCTCAAGCAACTGTCAAGCTGTCCAGTTTAAAACAACTCAAGCTGTTCCAGCTTTTCAGAGCATCAGGCCAGAGCATCACCCAGAAATGCTCCTCTCCACAGGCCAGAGGGCAGGCTGTGACTTAAGAACTGCCCCAAACCACTCTGCAATACCTGAGGTAACAGTTTGTTCGAGCAAGAATCACCAACGGAAGCAGAACTACAGGGTAAGACAGGGGTTAAAGAAATAAGGTTAGTATAACAAATATTAAAAAGAAACAGTAAGTCTACTATAAGACAAAGTAGGCAGAAATCTTAAGACACATAGGTAAGCAAAGTTTATGAATAAAAACTAAACTGCATGGGAAATACTTTAAAAAATCAACAACCTTTTTAATCATTTATTGAAAAAATTTTTGCACATCAAAAAAAATTTCCAGAAGAGTAAAAAGAAAACCCACAAATAGGGAAAAATTTTTAGCCAACTGTCCATCAGACTTAAAAGACTTCTATCTAGAATACACAAAGAATTTTTAAAAAATCAAGCCCTCAGAGCTGATGAAATAACTCAGCAAACTAAAGCACCTGCTTAGGCAAGCACAGGGATCCCCAGCACTACATGCCGCGCCAGCCCCGCCACAGAGCAGTGGTGCACACCTGTAATCTCAACACTAGGGAGGCTGAAAGCAGAAGGATCACTGGGTCTAAGATGCATAGTGAGACCCTGCAACAACCAAATATATTAAAAAAAAAAAAAAAAATCAAGCCCCCAGCCAGATGTGGTGGCACATACCTGTACTCCCAGCACTCAGGAGGCTGAGGCAGAAGTTTAGAGGCCAGCCTGGGCTACACAGTGAGCTCAAGGCCAGCCAGAACTATACAGTGAGATCCTACCTCAAAAAGACAAGGGGGAGAAAAATCAAGCCCCAAAATTCAGGGACACAATCCAAACATGGGCATCTGAGATGAATACACATTTCTCAGATGAAGAAATGCAAACATAAATATATGAAAAAATGTTCAACACTATTGGCCATCTGAAAATGCAAAGTCA